GGAGAGCTGCCAGCCGTGCCGGGCTGCCCGCTGCTGGGCGCTGGGGCTGTGCTGTGGGGCCAGAGGCCGCTTGGGGCTTCTCCTGGAGGCCCTCCCCACCCGCGCAGGGGTGATGGAGGAGGGATGGGTGCCGACAGGAGGGATGCGCTGCATCCCGGCGTGGCCTCTGGACCTCTCCGGAGGTGGGGGGGGACGGGACCAGCTGGGCTGGGGGGGACTTGGGTGTTGGGGTCCTCATCTCCTGCCTGAACGTTGCTGTCTGGGAGCATCTGCTGTTCTCCAGAACCTGGTTTGAACTGCTGCCCTTCACTTGCTTTCCGGGAGGGGGATGTTTGATGCTTTTATCTCTCAGCCTTTGTTGGTATTCGGCGCTGGAAGGGCTTGACTGTAATGTTCTACCAGAGCTGCAGGCCTTGCTAAAAACCCACAATGTGCCTTGTCCAGGAGAGCTCTCGCAGAACAGTGGCTGCTTGCCTGATTAGTGCTGGGTTTTTCCCCTTTCTTTTTCTTTTTTTGGTCTTTCTTTCTTTTCTTTTTTTGTCCAGGGATTAATGCAGCCTGCTCCTCGCATGTCAGATCTCCCCTCCTAGGACATTAGGTAGCGCGTTTTGCTTTGATCACCTTCTGCTGAGTTTCCAGGAGCTTTTGCTCTCCATGTGACCGAGAGATCTCAATGCAAAGAGAGGGGGGTCAAGCTGAGATGCTGCTCGGTTCCTCCCCGAGCCATCCGTGTGTGAAGCCACTTGTGCGCGCGTGGGCTAGGAGCTGATGAGCGTATGGCTGGGTTATCTCTCATCGCTCGGCGTTTAGGATTGGAGCTGAAGCTTGCACGAGGTCTTTCCTGGTGAGTGGCCAAACCACACCTCCCTCCTCGTGTGTGTGATGGAGGTAAAGAATTCCCGCTCGGCGCGTTACGGTTTTGAAGCGCTGTGCCGGCTCTTGCCATTGGCTCCGGTGGGTTTCGGGGCGATGGTAGCAGCCAACGCCAGGCGCCTGGCTGGGCACGCCCGATGGCAGGAGCAGGGCGAGCTGGGGCTGCTTGGACGGGAGACCACCGGGGAATCCCAGGGCGTGGAGTCACGGCCAAAAACCCGGCAAACGGGAGACCACAGAAACTGTACGAGCCGAGAGGTTTTTTATATTTTTCCTTTTTTTGGCTCCGGCATCGGTGATGGACAGGAGCAGGAGAAGTGAAGTGAAAACAGGGCGTCTGCGCCTGTACGCGTGCAAACTGCTGGTTGTGCCTCTGGAGCCCCAATACAGGGAATATTTTACATGCAGAACCTCCCTCTTCTCCTCCGAAGCGACTCCCCTCCCCAGCAGCCTGTGGTGCGGTTAAAACCGGCCTCCCCACGCTGCGCCGGACCTGGCCCCATGCTCCAGGAATTCCAGATATTATTTATACGCGCTGCTAAATTTATCACGCATGGCTCTGTGTACACAGAGAGTGCTTCTCCCTTTGCCGTGCCGCCGCGGAGCGTGGTGGTGCGCAGTCCACGGTGGACTCATCTGCCTCCCATTAACACCGGTGGGACTGGCCTTGCTGGGAGAGGGCTGGGGCTTGCAGATGGCCTTCTGCCGGCTCCCCGTGCTTCCTGGCCTTTGAAAGGACCCGCCGGTGGAGCTCCTCGTGTGAGAAGTTGTTGGAACCAAGTTTGGCTTCAATTATCACAGTAAATGATGCCATTGTAAAGCTATGCTCGAAGCAGTGTTCTACAATTAGAGCATGGAAGCTGTGATTAACATAGTTTTGTTAAAATACACTTCTTTCTCTTTTTTTCTGATTTGTTCTTTTTCCCCCCCCCCTCTTTTGACTTTAAATCCATGATTGCCCAGTGACGTTTGTCCCAAGAAACAGGATTAATAAGATTCCGTTTTGCTTCAAAATGCTCCTTGTAGATTTTTCTTCTCTCTCTCTGTGTAAACCTGTAGTTGGAACTGCCAGAGTGCTTTTATTTCCAGGAAGCAGAGTTTGACAAGAAAAAGCCCCACACTCCGCACCCTTGTAACGGGGGATACAACCAAGAGCCCCTGAAATTTTCCTGGCATTATAATACCTCTGCTGTGCCCATTGCCTAACATAGCATATAGAGAGTTACCCGCTGCGTGTCATCGCATCCAGATAAGAATAGGCTGAGAAACATCAGGCATTCTCCTTGAAGCTCCAGAGCAACTGCCACCTGACAGCTGAGAGCACTTTGCAGATGGAGTTTGGGGCTGGGGCGCGTGTTTGTGCGCGCAGCATCCGCGCCAGGAGAGCACCGCTTGCCGCTGGAATTTAAAACCCTTGCAGGCAACTTGATGCAGCTGGGTGCAATTACTGTAGTAAGGTGGTCAAATTTAAAAAAACAAAACAAAAACAAACACACACACACACCCGCCGCCCCCCAAAACCCCGTGGCAAAACAGGCCCCATTAGTTTTCTTAAAGGACATGGGGATTTCTGTGGGGCAGCGTGTTGGAGGTGGAGTGTGGAGCCTGACTTTAAAAATATGCAAACTTCAGGGATTTTCTTTTGGCTGTGGGGTGTTGGTAGGTGACTTGGTGCTGCAGTCTGGTGCTGATGGGGAAGAGGAGTTTGTTCTGGCCACTCTCTCTGACGGTATCTTCCCAAACACTGTGTGTGGACACACCTCCTGTGTCTGTAGGGACCTGCTGCCTCCGGCCATAGAATCCTAGAATCCTTGAGGTTGGGAAAGACCTCTAGGATCATCAAGTCTAACGTTCAACCCAACATCACCGTGCCTGCTGGAAGGACATGGCAAAAGAGCCCACCTGGCTGCACACAGGGAGGACCCAGACCCTTCCCAGCAAGATGGGGGTACTGTGCTGGGGAGCACCCCGAGCCACTGGGTCTTTGGATCTGCTCTTAAGACCTGAGATGGTTTCAAACCAAGTAATTTTAAGAGCTGCATCCCTTGCACAGGCTACCCAGAAGCCCACCAAGGACCTGGGAGTGGTCACTTGGACTGTACATCTCCCCAAGTTAGGGTAGAAGACTACATGGTTTTTAGAGGAACTTTGTTGTAGTAGTAGTGGGATAACTTAGCTTTCACCCACATGTGGAATTAATTTATCTTTGAAGATTTAACTTCTTTCCTGTGGCATTCCTTACTATCTCCTTTTTTTTTTTTTTGCCTTCTTCCCAGATATATAGATTTTAACATCTTGATCTCCCCATCAGAAATGCCTTGGCCTCCTTTGGAAAGGAATGCAGCCCTGGCTGGGCCGACCATCTTCCCCACCCTGCTCCCCCCCCTTTTATTTTTTCTTTTCTTTTTCCCCTATTTATTTTTTTTAACTGAAGCCTAGGTGGAGGCTCCTGTTTTCGGTGCTGGAATGCGCGGGGTGCCCGGTCGGTTGTGAGGGATGGGGAGCGGGGCGGTGGGAGGACAGTGCTGCTCGCTCCAACCCAGCTGGTCCCCTCCAGCCCCTGGGGGGGCAGGGGGGTGGAAAGCCTATTAAAACAAACCTGCCAAGCCTGCTGGCACATTCCTTAGGCCCCCAAGTCCTGGGTAAGTGACCCTAATTATTAAAATCAGCAGTCCTTATCAGATGACAAGGCCTTTTGCTTTGATATACAAAGTCAGAGGCTTAACAACCCCGTCTTTCCTTGGAAGAGGAGCAAAATGTGCACCTTGACATGCGGCTTTCAAACCTCCCTGCATAATCCCCTTATCGCCTGCCGGAGATATGTGTATTGATCTGGCTGGGAAGTTGGGGTGATAGGAGGCAGCAGGCAGGGGGATGCCCAGGTCCTGTCACCTCCGTGCAATGACCCTGCCATGGTGACCCTGCCACGCTCCCTCGCTGCCCGTGTCCCCGCCTGTGAATTTTTCATGCGACCGCTCTTGGGTGCTCAACTCAATGACATCCAGGCTGGGCTTTAGTTTCGCTTCTCCAAGTGAAGCCCAAGGTGTTGGTATCGGTAACGCACATGCCCGTCAGTACAACCTGCTGCTCCTGTCCTCGTGTCCCCCATCCTCCTCATCCCCACCCAACTCTGCGCACGAAAACAGAAGTTGAACAAGTAGCAGGTTCTCGTAAAAACTGGGCCTTTTTATTGCGTGTTTTTATAATGCCAGGGAGATGGCACCCATCTCTGGGAGGCCACGCTGGAGACAGCAGATTTCAGCCTTGGCCATGCCTCCTCTGATGCGTGGTGGTCCTGCTCCAGTAGCTTCAGGCAGTTCTCTTGTTTCGGGCAACACAGATACTGTCACTTGTATTCCCAAAGGGGCCCTAACGCCTGTCTTCAGAGTAGACTTCAATGGCTTTCGGTGGAACTTGAGCTATGAACTTCTTGATCTTCTGCCTGCTGATGCCAACAGCAAAACTCCTGCTGACCTCAGCAGTGTGGCATCAAGCTTTAGGGACCAAGTTTTTGAAGGTATTGAAGGATGTACAGGTGCTTCCTAGGATTTTTTTAAAGTGCGCTTCCAATGCTAAAAGCAACATCTTTAAAGTTGGACTTCGGGTGTGTTCAGACAGAGCATGTCCTGCTGGTCCGAGCGATGGATGGTTAGTTGCTTCTAAAGAGGATGAGCAGCCAGTGTGCATGGTTGCCATAAGGGGAGTGCTATCATCAGACTTGTGTGCTTTTTCTCTAGCCCAGGCCTGGCTGGTAACTAGGTTCCTGTTCTGCTTGTCCCTAGGTCCTTCAAGAGGAACGATCCCGTTAACCCATACCATGTGAATTCTGGCTATGTTTTTGCCCCAGCAACCAGCGCGAACGACAGTGAAATATCTAGTGATGCCCTGACGGACGACTCCATGTCGATGACGGACAGCAGCGTGTAAGTACCTTGTGTTGGCCGGGTCCTTCTGGGACATGCTCTCTGTGAATCAGCAGCATGGGAGTGATGGGCCCAGGGTCACCACCCTACTTCTGCTCGCTGTTGGCTGGGGACCGCCCAAACCGAGAGGCATAGCAGGGCATGGTGGCCTCGCTCCTCACGCAGTTGCCGGAGGTATCGGATGGAGTGAAATAATGAACCCCTTTATTGCCATTTTGCAACTGCAGCTGAGCAAACATGTTTTCCCCTATGCTAATGGTGCTGCCTGACTAACCCAAGGAGCTATCTCCCCAAGCCTTTGTCTTAAGGCCAGGCTTCCTTAAATAGTTATCAGTCATCAAAGAGGAGGAGATTACTTCCTGTAGGAAGTACTTTCTGTAATTAAGGTTCGTCATTAATGTCAGAATGTACATTAGTAGGGCCAGTGACCTGAAGGGGCAAATAGCTGCTCGTCTGGTGTGGCTGGGGCAGGCTTCAAAGAGCCGTTTGAATGGAGCTGCACGGATCAGGTCTGGGTGTTTCGGGAGCGCAGGGATGAGAGGGTGCTGCGGCTGAGCCCCGGAGTTGCGGGATCTGTCCCAACTCTGCTGAGAAGAAGCGTGCAACTGGGAGCACCTCGTGCAGCCGTTCTTCCTTGGTTGGCTTTCCCCAGAAGGAGAGAAGTGGTGCTTTGGTGTCTGTAGAGGAGACAGTAAGGCTGGCTTAGTGCTCTTAAGGACCGTTTTCTTCAATGGGGCAGGAGGCAGATGTTTCCGTTTGTGTTTCATGGTCTTCACTTAAGTACAAGTGGTCTAGAAGACCCACCTGTGAGTGGAGTGCTGCATTCCTGGTCTTCATCTCATAGGTGAAACTTCTCCAGTGCCTTTGTTGGAGGTGTCCAGTGCTTGCTGTGTCCTCCTCGAAGAGGTTTGTGTGCTGAGCTTTAAAAGTCAGTAGTGCTGCGTGATGATGCCCAACAGAAGACAGGATTTACAAAAGATCCTTGATGCGTAAACAAAAGCTGTATTTTTTTTTTTTTAATGCACATGTGTGTTTTGAGCTGATATTATGGAAAAAAATAGTTTGTTGTCCCACCAGATTCCCTTATTGAACAATATTGGCGTTAAATAAAAGAGCTGAATCATAGGGTGACTTCTTTATTTCTTCTTACTGGCTCTGGTTGTATGTGATCATGTGTCAACAGAGCATTCATTGGGTTAGTCATTTCTGGACCAGTGTAGGGTCACTTGGGATTCACAGGGCTAGGATTATACCCTCTCTTCACAGCAATGCCAATTGTAGGCCTTATACAGATGAGAGCACTGAGTGAGAAATAAAGTGCATGGTGGATGAAAGGCTTAACTGAATCGCTTTCAGCCCATTGTTAGGCCAGGGGAGCTTAGCGGGGATGAGAGGGCAGCAGCCCGCTTTGAAATGGGCTTGAACAAGTGAATAGGAGCTCCCCAGAAAGCAGCCCTGAAAGGAGCCTGCCTGTTTTTTCCTGCCGTAACAATGGCCCGCGCAGGCTGTGAGGGTTTGGGGCAGCTTGGCTGATTAAACTGCCCGCAGCTCCAGGTTGGGGGGC